GTGATCTTTCCTTGAACTTGCAAGCCTGTTCCCTAGACAAACAGATTCTCCAAAGGCCTCAGCAAATACAGCTACGCTGGGATAGTAGAAGCCGCCTCTGCAAGTGGGTGAGTCTAACAGAGATTACATTGCCACGGAAAATTCCCCAGGCCGCACGTCACCACCTTTCAATAAGGTACAGCTGAAAGATCTACAAAGTATCCCATCTAGCCACAAAATTCTGATCTAAACTGAACTTAAATTTTGATTTGCTTCAAAAGACAATACTGTCAAGATCTTGGTTATCTCTCATGCTCTTCTCTGGTGCTATGCTTTATACTACAAATCCAGGTGTAAAGGTGTATTTGCGTGATGCCTTTAACTAAATCAGTAGTTTCAACAATCTCAAAAAAGTCTGAGATTTAGGCAGGTTTTTGGACGGCCTTTTTAATCTGAAAGGCTTTGACCAAACTCAGCAGAGGGAAGATTTGGCAGCAATGAGTAGAGTGTAGGTACGAACAAAATGAGCAGCTTGTATCTGGGCAGCCGAGGCTACAATTCATGTGTTGTGTGTTGAGTGCCACATGAAAATGCATGAACAATGATATTCTGTACAGAGCTTTAGTATCTACCCTGTGTGTGCTGGACCTTGGAAGCTGGCAGTGCATTGCTGGTGTAGAAGATACAAAAGGAGAGTGCTCAAGCTGGAGGAATTAAAGTTCTATAATTAGAAATGGTCTGTTAAAATTACATGCCACATGGCAAGCCTACGAAACCTGGCGTGTGAAGAGCATATTGGCAATGATTTACAATTAACCACCACATTGCAAATCACTCCTTAGCTGTTTTCTATTATGAAATTTGGAGAGTTGTAAAATGCATTTGTGCTACTTTATTTCCTTTTGAAATGGTAATTGCTACTGCTGAGGGGCAGTACTTAGTGCAGAAAATGAAGTGTGCAGCATAGGGAGGAACTTGTTTCTGAGGAATTGCCGAGGAATTGTAATGATCTGAAAAAAGTGCTCTCTTGAAACACATACACACAAAAGAGCTTCATTTATGAAACTCCAACCAAATAAATAACAAAATAAAACAAAACACAGTTGTCTTTTGTGCAAAGGCCAATGCTTACTACCTTGTTGCTGACTGCACTTTTTCCCCATCAAAGTGGGAACAGTGGATTGACACTGGGTAAAACTCATAAGTCAATGGCTTGAGGGAAATGCAGATGTATGGAAATGTGATAGGAATGCCCTAAGGTAATGGGTTTTGAGCCAATGCATTGAAAATTATCGAGTGTACTTCTAACTACTAGCCCATTTTAGGTACCTAGTATAGAACTGGCAGTGTATGGCCCTGGGGAACTGGATGAAGTTTGACTTTTGTGTCTGAGGAACAGAGGCTGTGCAGCCTAAGTGGAGAAAGCAGGTATGTTCTAATTAAGTGGTGATAAGTTCCCTCCTTACAGCTTCCCCTTTGATTGTGATTGTAAAAAGGACTGTGTTTATGAGCAGCTTTTATGGAGGGATATATTAATGAAAGCAAGGAGTGAGGCTTCTGAGGTCTTAAATTTGCTAACTTGTGACAATAATCATGATCTCTCAGGTAATAAAGTAGGCTATCTAGCTCAGGTTCTCAGTTTAAAGTTAATATCTTTGAAAGCCAGATGATTGACTGTAATTTTCCTCATAGTGCTTTGCTGGTAGCAGTAAATAAAAACATCTACAGCACTTTTCATTAGAAGTGTCAGAGTGCTTTCCATGCCTTAATCAATTAATTTTTATGAGATGGTGGCATGGTTATTTCCCTTTCTCTACTGGAGGAACTGAAAGGATCAGGGCAGCAACCAGGAATTATGCAGCATTTAGTGCAATAGCAAAGTCTCATAATGCCTGGGTCTAGAAGTGTGGCTTTCCAGAGTTATTTTACAGTTAACACAGAGGAGTCAGACACAGTCATAACTGTCCTTTCATAAATACATTTGAACTGGCATTGTGTCTTAGAATGACAACAGACGGAGTTGATGGTGCCAAGGTGGTCCTCCTTGACACTTAGGAAAAGAAGCCGTTGTTTTGGATCAGCTTGGCTAAACAAGTAACTCACAACTGAGCTGCAATGCGAAAAGGCAGTATACAGCAGCTGAAGCCAGGAATGGCTCAGAACAAGCAATTTAGAAGCACTGTCCAGGCATGTAGGGATGATGTTAAAAAAGCCAGTGCTCAGCTGGAGTTGAGACTTGCAAGGGATGTCAAATTGCTAGTTAGGGGATGAACAAGGAAACTGTGGGACTGCTGCTGGGTTCAGCTGGTGACTTAGTGGCAGCAAACACAGACCGGGCTGAGGCACTCAGGGCCGCCTTTGCCTCAGTCTTTACCAACAAGGTCTCCCAGGCTCTGTGCTTTGCAGCAGGGCTCTAGGAGGAGGAGAGTGACCAGCATCGGGTATAACTTGGAAAAAAAGAGATCTAGACCAGAGCTAAGGAAAAAACTTTCTCTCCATGAAGACGGTCGGGCAGTGGTGCTGGCAGCGCAGGGAGGTTGTGCAGTTTCCATCCTTGGGGGTTTTCAAAGCCAACTGGACAAAGCCCTGAGAAACCTGGTTTGAGCAGGGGGTTGGACTGGAGACTCCTTAAAATCCCTTCCAGCCTGGATTATTCTGTGATTTTAAGATTTGTGGCTCTGGCAATTCTAGATATTTTAAACCTTCTGCTTAGCTCACCCAGCTTTGTCCATCTAAATAAAAGAGGTTCTTCAATGAATGATTTTCACCCATGAAAATCATTTAAATAGATGGTGTTTTAAAGTAAATGCTTTTGAATGACAAATTGCATACAACTCGCGTACTGGCATAGTAGTGGCATTTCTGCAATACCTCAACTACCAGCGGTCTTTCCGTGAGCATGTGCCATGCACAGCCCAGCGAGGGCAGGCGCAGTCCGTGCAGCTGTGCCCACCCCTGTAAGCAATCTGGCTTTTAATCCAGGGTGACAGTGACCAGAGATGAATGAAATCAGGACAATACAGTGGCATTACGTGTAGATTTCAGCCTCTTTCCAGTTTCAAAAAGAGCAGCCAGGGACTGCATATTTACTTCAGGTCTGGTGTCTCCCTATTTCTCAAGGAGAATTTGTGGTGCATACATGGGAGTGTGTTCTCCAGCTGTTAGCAAGCGTGAAATGGGAAGGAGTCCATCCATCAGGAAAGGGACGGACTGACTGTAGAGTTCTTGTTTGGTGTTCTCGTAATATGGCTTCTTGCTCTCCAGGCAGCCTAAGTGCGCAGAGGAATGTGCAGAAGATGATGGGAGACTCCGGGGGTGCTTGCACCAACTTCAAAATTACAAACTTTGGCATAGGAAAACAAAATTGGGTTGAAAGGAGGATGTATTAAATCTATTTGACAAACCTGGGGCAAAAATGGGTGCAGTCAGTCCAATTTAGCCAGGTTTTAATTTAGTTGGAGAATATAATTCTGCCTGGAAATATACAACTTCCAAAACCAGCTGATGATTTGCAAGCAGTACATTTAATAAGCATCCTGCTACCTGTTGTCCAACAGCGATGAAGTGCTCTGCTTTGCCTTGAGATATCATGTACAGCTGGGTTTTTTTTGCAAGAAAAGATAAAAGTGACTAATGAAGTAAGAATTATTACTGTGGAAAATGGGGACAATGGCTAGAATTTAAGGGTATTTAGATGTCTCTAATGATTTCAGTGGGACTTAGGCACTCAGTACCTTCAAAAACTAGCTAATCACATAACAAATGAGACACTAATTTAGCAGTTCTCTCAGGAATAGAAAACTGTCAATACACTTACAGCTTTATAAACAAAGGAATAAGCAAGCACCCTCTGTGGTAAATAAAATAATTACTGGTACAATTGTCCATGTTTTGCAGATGATGAAATGGAAAGGGGATCAGTAATTTTCTCAATAGCACCAATATAAATCAAGAGTCATGAAACTAATTTTTGTTCATACAATTAGGGAGTATAGCTTTATCTCAGATAGGTTAGTGTCTTTCCACAAAGGTGCAGGAGTCAGTTCCATAGCTAGAATTTGAATTTGCCCACTTCTTTTCTTGGACAAGTTGATCATTTCTCCCTTCTACTGTACACCTTTTAATCATAAATGCAAGCAGTTATTTCTCCTTCTGATTCTTACAAAAAACTTGTTCTTAGTGTTAAGAAATGGCTACAGTTTTAAAATTGTAACTAAAGGTGTGAACAGATTCCATGATTTTTTTTCTGTTAAAACCAGAATAAGAAACTTAGGAATAAGGTTCTTATTTTACTGTCAAGTTCTTTGTGCTTTGGAAAGTATGAGGGAGACAAAACTTTCTATTTCCTTTGAGTTTTCTCACAGTTTTCCTAATATTTGCCACATTATTGCTCTTGCATTTTGGGAGATCTATGCATCTGACACCTGAAGAAAATTAACCCTTGGAAAGCTGTGCAGAAACTGCAGGGTGCCTACCCTGAGACAGCTCCTGAGACAATACCTGCATTTATAGCCTGTGGACTAAATAATTTTCTTGGGATTAGATGTCTCAGCTCCCCAGTTTCTCACGCATGTGCATACTTCTTTAAAAGCAAGCTATTTCTGAGGTAGTAGCTGCAGGTTCTTTAGGTTTCTGACCCAGCTAGTGATTCTTTTGAGTAAACCACAATTCTGAAGGGAAAATAAGCTGTAATTGCTTAGACCTAAAGCATCAGGTTTGAGAGTTTTGTTGTTGTTGCTGTCGGAAACCATTTTAGCCCCAAGGAAATACAACTTCTCGAGAAACACTTCTCATCTGCTATTTTTCAATTACTGAAGTATACAAGTATATATGATTATATCTGCTTTTATAAGTTTAACTGTAATCAGCAGACTAGGAACAGAGTGCACAAGTCATTTTATCTGCATTATTTGTGGAGAATCTCTGAGAACACAGGAGTGCTTCTGACCCTGTTAAACTCCTGCTATTTTGAAAATGATTATTAAAAAGACATCAATACTTCTCTGAGCCCACATACTCACTTGTTGCCCGGTAACCAGAAGGATGGAGCCTTCTTTCCCGTGTACCACTTGCCGGTAAATGTGATCTAGAATTAAGAGTTCACTCCAGCAGTTCTGAAGCAACTTCATTTGGTCATCAACCTGTAAAGCAAACACGAATGTTGGTGGCATCACTCTGGGAGTAAGTCTTACATCACACTACGGGGTCAGTCCTTCTTCAAGCATCTGGTTAACATAATGAGAACAGAAATGCTATCAAAAATTATTCATCCACAAAATTGCTATTCTCAACTGAATGAATAGGGCACTGCTGAAACCCTTATCTGTAAAATGTGTAGAATATTTACTACTGATTCTAGGAAAGCAGAACTACGTCATTGTTATGCAAAGTAATAATAATAGTATATTTACGAAATGCTTATGGAAATGGGATATTATTTTTACCCGAAACAAGAATAGCAGAAATAATGCTAATGTGAACTTTCCCATACTCCCCATCCTTGAACGTCAGCTTCTGGAAATAATGAGGAATCTGCAGATTCAAAAGCATTTATTCCTGCAGCAAGCCCAAGTCAGAGATAGGTCCCTTGCAAAGGAAAAAGTGAAGAGAGAGGTAAACAGTCCCTCTAAGAATAGTTGTGGTTCTATGAAAAAAGAAGAAAACTTCTTCATAAACAGAAGCTGAGCAGCTTCAGGTGTCACCAGTAGGGCAAGAAAGGGCTGTGCCCAAGGCAGTGGTGAGCAGTGAGACATACCACTGACTGCGTTTGGTAACAGAAGGAACACACTGGGCACTCAGCACGAGCAACCTACATTAAGTTTTTGCGCAATGTTATTTGGGATGTACATATTATAGGACAACAAAGCATATCACTAAACTGACCCCTATTGCAACTGGGTTGCATTCAGTTTTATTCACCTTAGAGACTGAAAAATAATTGAGATTTCCATGGAAATGGGAGGAAAAAAATCACGAATCAGTGGAAGGCAGACTATGAATTTAAGTCATGGTAAGCACCAATATCCTCTGGACCTTCTTACTGAACTTAATGATTTCTTCCTAAATTCAAACAAAGTCTTAGGCATGTGTCCTGAAAGAGTTGAGAGATGTGTACATTAGCCTTGCTACAATTAAGTGTCTGGTGCAGATGTGGTAATAGCATGTATATAGTTAAAAGGACTCTAAGAACCTGCATAGAGAGCAACTGCTGAACAGATTAAAAATGCTATAAATAGGAGAAGTTGAAAAAGAAACTAGCAAAGAGAATATTTAAAGTGGAGAAATGCCTAGAATTTCTGAGACATGGAACTATTAAAATTGTTTTTCAGGGGTTCTAATTTCAATCGCTTTAGAACTAGATTTGATAATGCACAGGACACCGCATTATAAGGAGCAATCTTGCATGAGCTGAATTAGATAATGCAATAGATGTTTTCAAATTTTATCAGCTACGACCTAATGAATTTTTGAACTTTATTCTTTCAAGCTTGTTTTCTGGTTGTTTGGTAGAGAGGGAAGTAACGTTTGTTACTAATAGATTTTCGTAGTGTCACCTGTGACAGTTATCTAGTATTCTCTCCCTCTTTCCAGTCACTTGCCATATAGCTCAGCCTTTAACATCTTAAACATCGAAGTCTCTGTTTGCCTCCTTCATTCATCTTAACTTCCCTTCTCCCCACTCACAGCCTTCTCCCAACTGTTCTTGTCCCAGTTTCTCCCCCTTAGGTATCTGTCTCAGGCTATTCCCTCTTGCTGGACTGTGCAAGCAAATGAAATCAGGAGAGAAAGGGAGCAGATTAGCACAAAGCCAGTGGGGAGAAAAGGGAAGAAGAACCCATTTGCAGCAGATCACGTTCTCCTGCACAGCCTGCACTAGGACCTTCAGTTCTTGCTTTTGCCTGCTCCATGACTGCAGCAGGTATCTGTGCTGGAAAACTGCACAACTCATTCCCTCCACTACTGCTTTACCTAGAGGATGATATAATTTTCATGGGGTTTTGTTTTGTTTTACTTTTAATTTTATTTTTATCCCCCACCTTTGCTCTTTTTAAAAAAAAAAAAAAAAAGGAAAATTATATCCGAATAGCTATGCCAAAATAATAGCTTAAGGTTGCAAAATCAAGCACTGCAGAACTGTATTAAGATTGTCTGTCCTATTCTTATTTTATCTTCAACCTGCCTTTGCGTTATAACAGATTTTAATGCATAGACACAAAAGGGCTGAATTAGTATTTTGCAAACACTCTCGGTTCTGATATTTCAAATGCATGCTTTGCCTTTCCAGTATTAAGAATAATCTTTTAGCGCAGTTGCTGTTCTGCCTACAGTCACAGTTAAGACATGTATGCTCAGACAACTCCTATAAGCTACATATCCATTGGCAGCAGAGGTGGAGGAAAGAAAGAGGTGTGGACTCTGTAGGTGGATATATTACTAAGTCAAAGTAAAGCTAGCGCTATCACAAACTCAGCCTTGCTCCATCCCTATGCTGTCTGTGGCCATGATAATTCATTTCTGTTCAGATCACAGAGCAAGGCTGATTCTGTATTAAAGATCTCTTCCTCTGCCCACAACGTGTATCTGACTACAAAACCATTTCAACCAAGTGACTTGTTAGCTCAAGAGAGGACAGTAAATTACCACATTGATACACTCCCTACCAAAACTTGGGCCAGGTTTAAAATAAGGCATTATTTGAAGAAAATGTTTGAAATTTACAGATTCTAGTACTCTTGCTTCTTACGTGAAACTGTTTTGTGATCATTTTCTCCTCTGTACAACAAGGTGTTACAAAAATCGAATAAATCATGCTAACATGATAATTTCATGCAAAATTAGCATTTCACACAAAGCTATCACAGCTTACATCTGAACGAAACAAACTGTGAGACAGTTTAAACAGCATCCATGTCATAACTAATACCTGAATAAGAGGTCAAGCATTTGATTATATTATAAATGACATATTTGCAGCTAACCCATCTGTCTCAGCCACAGGCTTTTGAAAACAAACTACACTTTACAGGTCTGGCTTTCTGAAGGCCCCAACAGCAGCTAGTCTGCAATCAAAGCTTACCTCCCAAGCTTTATCATATCATTACCGAGCCAGTGCTGTGAGAACAGTATGAGATGGCAAAATCACAAAAAAAAAATGTTTTGCACATAGTCTGTTCCTGCTGTTCTACAAGACTCATAAAACTAGCAGCAGCGAACATCTGCTAGTGGTTCACAAAATCTGCTCCTCCGTATTCACTGTAATTTAACCAGTGAAAGCCTGTAAAATGGATAGCATAAAAAGCACAATACACATCCGAAACACAGTATTGCCTTCAGAAGACTATTAGATCCAGCTGCTTTTGCCATTTTAAGAAAGCTGGCAGAGCAGCAGAATGCTTCCCAGTTTGCACTAGGAAGAAACAGAGATGACTTTAAGGAGGGTCATGGATTACTAAAATGTAGGGCAAGTGATCAATTCCAGCCTATATTTCTGAAAGGCATGTCGATGAGGAAAAACACATACTTTATTTCTGCTAACGCATACGAAATGAAAAATAGAAAACAACATAGATCACACTGAACAAAACAGTATCACGTCACTTCTTATGTTAGAATGAGCTGGTAAACTTTATGACGTGTGTAACTTCAGCCAGAACACAAACACCTTTGTGTTTCCGTGGCACGTCAATAAATGAGTTGCAGAAGCGTATTATCTGGCAAAATGAAAAAATCAGCCTTTCACCGAAACAAGTATGGGCCTTAAACTGATCCTGAAGGCAAAGAGGCTTAAGTTTTGGTGGCCGAAGTGGAGAGTGAGTTCTGAAGAGGAAAGTCCTCTGCAGAAAAAGCACCTTGTGGACTTCAGTCTTCTGCCTCCAAAGCCAAAGCATGCTAGTCCACCATTAACAGGGTAAGCAGCAGAAAAGATAAGATTCTGTCACCAAGATAACTTAGCTCCAGTCTGGGACTTCCCTGTAATCAACATCATTTTTAATCATGTTCTACATTGAATTAGAAACAAGCTCATAAACTTGTACTACTGGCTAAACTTTGAGATCTTTCAGTTTGTGGAGATCTTTAAGAGTATTATCAATGTTTTAACAACAACGAGAAAAAAGTGCCCTTTGTCCCAACTACTGGGAATGCTTGTAAATAAAAATTGAACATCATACGGCCAACAACCGTCTGCTGCAAGAACACTCCCCAAATTTGCAGCTGCTCCCTGCCATAACAGAACATTGACACGAGGATAATGTAACCCATGTCTTACCTAAGCAAGTTGTCAAATGAGATACCCATTCGACAGCTATCTAGCCTCGAGCAAAAGCGTGAGTGAATACTGTGCCCGAATGGTTAAATTTAGGTTCTCTCTGACCAGTGGCATTCAGATGAAGACACACCAGCGGGGATAGCATAACTGGAAATTGCTGCTGAAGAAAAGGCTTTTAAGGAAAGATGTGGAGGAAGCTAAGGGAGGGTGTGTGACTCAAAAGAAATAGGAGATTGTTTCCAGCATGCAGGGTGGCATGAAAGAGTAATAATGTTATGAGTATGAAAGGAGTAAAACATCACACTTGTAAAACTGCTGCTAAGTGACAAGGGAAGCAAAGAGAGTGCTTAGGAGGAGCACCTAAAGGAGGGGAATGGAGAGGCAGTGCGGTGAGAGAAGACATAAGGGAAGTTGGATGTCATGTAAAACCTTGAAGGTGAGGATGATGAGACTGGATGAGATGCAGACTTAAAGGGTTTGTGTGGCAGTAAGAAATGCTGCTGGGGCAGAGAAGGAGCAAGTGCTTTGTGTTAGAGAAGCAGAGGATGGCGGTTGTCACCAGCACAGGCGGGAGAAGTCCCAGAGGTGAAAGTGGGCATGTGCCCATTGTCTACTCTCTCAAACGGTATGGATACAAAGGTCGAGCAAAGAATAGCTTTCTGATAGCATTAATACATGGCAATAGGTAAATCCTACTTCCTGTACCAAAATCCTATTTACCTATGCTTACAGTGAGGACAAGGAAGCATGTCAGGATTTGGAGTCATCCATAACCTTGTATCTCATGCTGTTTGGACTACTTGTAGCATATTCCCCAGGTCATAAGCTGGAAGACAAATGGTCATTGCCACAACCACCCAGCGCCATCCCACT